GAACGAAAATTATTACACCATTTTATGATGGAGAATAATGAGGCTTTTGCATGGGATGACTCTGAGAGAGGAAGATTCAAACCAGAATACTTCCCACCTGTAGACATTCCTGTTATACCACATACACCCTGGGTATTGAAAAATATTCCTATCCCACCAGGATTATTCTCAGAAGTATGTAAAATCATTAAGACAAAGATAGATGCTGGGGTTTATGAACCTTCAAATTCGTCTTATAGATCAAGGTGGTTTTGCGTCTTAAAGAAAGACGGAAAAAGCTTGCGAATTGTACAAAGTCTAGAACCTTTGAATGCAGTCACAATAGCACACTCGGGTTTACCACCTGCAACAGATGCACTTGCGACGCATTTCTCAGGTCGGGCATGTGGAGGCATGTTTGATTTATACGTAGGATACGATGAGAGACTTTTAGCGGAGTCTTCTCGGGATTTGACTACTTTTCAAACACCTTTCGGTGCTTTGCGACTTGTAACGTTACCAATGGGTTGGACTAATTCAGTACCAATATTCCACGACGACGTCACATACATTCTACAAGACGAGATACCAGATGTTACGGTACCATATATTGATGATGTGCCTTGCAGAGGTCCAGCAACTAGATATGAGTTACCTGGAGGAAAATTTGAGACTATACCAGAAAATGAAGGCATAAGACATTTTGTAATGGAACACTTTGAGAATGTTAACAGAGTGGTAGTAGGTCATTTATGCACATATGAAGGAAGGAAACCAGAGACAGACAGAGTAAAAGTCATTGATAATTGGCGACCTTGTAAAAATCTGCATGATGTGAGAGCATTTCTCGGAACTGTTGGGGTATGCCGGATGTTTATTGAAAACTTTGCAAAGAAAGCACAGCCTATCAATGACTTGGCCAGGAAAGGTGCTCCTTTTGAATGGGGGCCTGCTCAAGAAGAATCCATGGCAGAACTCAAGAAGAGTCTCAGAGAATGTCCTGCATTGGTGCCTTTAGATTATATTAATAATCCCAACCCAGTTGTACTAGCAGTAGACACCTCATGGAAGGCTGTTGGATTTTACATCTTTCAAGATGACAAAGATACAGGAAAAAGAAACTATGCAAGGTTTGGATCAATAACCTTGAATGACAGAGAAGCAAGAATGTCACAACCAAAGAGAGAATTATTTGGACTCATGAGAGCCCTTGAAGCTGCTTCATATTGGCTACTTGGTGTAAGACGTTTAATAGTGGAAACAGATGCAAAGTACCTTGCTGGAATGTTAACTAATCCTGGCATGGGACCAAATGCTACTGTAAATAGATGGATTGACAAAATCCTCATGTTCCACTTTACGTTGCAACATGTAAAAGGAAAGACCTTTGCAGCAGATGGACTTTCTAGAAGAGATTGGCAACCTGGAGACGAAGTTTTTCAAATTCAGAAGAAAACAAACGGAACGGCCATCTCTGCCAGATTGTCACGAGAGTTCTTGGTGGCATCTTCATCTTCGGAATCGTCGACAGGGGCACTGAGGTCACCGAGGAAGGACATGATGAAAGGGAAATAATGGTCGAAGTCGTCCTGCATTTGAAAAATAGTACCGACCAAGCTCTCCTTGCCTTCGATAGCGGCGAGATCGAAGAGTGCTTGGGCAGCGCGGTGCATGTTGGTGTCCCGACGATACATAAGGGAGTTGATGATTGCTTGATTCGTGCGGATGTGCTGTTGATCGAACACAGCGTCTTGGATATGAGAAACGATAACTACAGAATAGAAGAAGTTAGAAAGAAAAACTCTAGAAAATATAAACTCGAAGACTTACGTTCAGGAGCCAAGCGAGCAGGGCGACGTCCCAGAATGCTCCGGACTTCCGCACGACGGACAGGCTTGAGGCTGTATTCACAGCAAGTGAAATGCGCAGAACGCAAGGCTCGGGCATCTGAACAAAGAGAACTTGAGCAAATAAAAAGAGAAGAAATAATAAAATTATTTACAAAAGGCTTGTTGAAAAGATGCTCTAAGTCGGTAGGGACATTGAACGCTCCGATAAACCGCTGATGAGGAGGAACTAAGAAAAAGAAAAAGCCTTCAGTTAGTAACTAGGAATGAACTGAGAAAAAGAAAAAGTCTTACGGAGGCGTTTCTTATCGTGCATCAAGTCGGGGTTGATGACCTCCGGCGCTACAATAAAAACACGAAGTTAGATTTTTTAAAAAAGGAATAAATATGATAAAAAGAGAACGTACAGTTCTTACGGGGTCGCCCACGTTTACGAGGAGGAGGACTAGCAACGAACGACTTGTCCGATTGCTTATCCTCTCCTTCCTCGCTGGGGCTTCGTTTGCGTTTGCTGGCCTTGGATTTCGTGCTTGGCGCAAGTACGAGCATATTCTTCATCTTGGTGAGAGCCTTTGCGGGACGATCACGACGTGTGTGCATCTCCACCTTAGGAATATTGAGGCGGGGAACCACGAGGATCGTCGGAGCGTTTGCGGATGCAGCTGGGAGCAGAGTGACAGGCGGCAAAATGCCAAGAGGTGGTGTAGGTGACAAGGAGATAGGAATGGGTGCGTCAGCGGAACCAGTGGCTGGAGTGGTAGAAGTGTGAGAAGGGCCGGCAGCGGGAGGACTGTTCGGTGGCAAAGGCATAAACTTCATGAGGCCTGGCGACGCAAGAACGCCTTTACGATGTTTCTAAAAAGAAGTAAAGAATAAATTAGAAAAAGAACGAAATAGATAGGATAAGAAAACTTACGAAGATTGGGGAGTCCTCTTGATCAGACCCCTTGTTAACAGGCGATGGATTACGGTTAGCGACAAGCGTGGATCAGGCCAGAAAGGGATTGGCCTTGACGGGCACATCACAAATGACGGGGAGCACTTGAAGGAGCTCGTCGTCGGTAAGCTCAGGGACAGCGAAGTCCCCCGTAAGACAATCTTGCTAGAAACAAAGAGATCAGACTAAAATAAAAAGAACAGATAAAGAAAAGATCATACCTCAGGATAATAATCGTCGTCGCCATCAGGTGCCTCGAGCATCCATTCATCCCATGCCTGATTGGAGGTCTTTACCCTCCCCCACGTAATCCATATGGACTCCAGTGGACTCCAGTGGACTCCAGTGGATTCCAGTGGCCCTCTTACCAGGCCAGATTGGCTGGCAGAATGCCCAGTCCAGTCAGAGTCCAGTGGAGTCCAGTGGATTCCAGTGGATTCCAGTCATTCCAGTATATTATTATTATTATATATGAATATAACTAAAAAAGCGAAAATGGAGTACACAATAGACAAGCTATACCTACAATTTTATTAATCAATGAATGGAAAGATTATAATTTATGTATAGTGTGGGTCAGTGATGGCTGCAATAAGGATTCATGATTTTGTTCAGTCTGCGGGGTGAGGTCATGTGACTTACTTGAGGGCGTGCCATATCGTCACATTGCCTGTTTGTGGGATGGTCACACTGCTGTGACCATCCCTTTCCCTTCCACCACCACCACCATTCACATCTCAACGCCGCCGACGACGCCCATGCCCATGCTAACGATGCACACGACGCCCATGCTAACGACGCCCACGCTAACGACAACGACACCCCCAGTGCGGAACGATGGACCAAGGACAAGGGACAACGCCCATGACGTGGCAACGTCATGGGCAAGGGGTACGTATGCCCCACCACCCTGTTCCTCCGTTCTCACCACGACAGGCACGACACCAGCAACCACCCATGCACGGCACATGAGGACGGCGACAACGACGACACATGAGCACGACGATGACATGCGAGCACGACGAAACGCGAGCATGACGACACGCAAGCACGATGACGACAACACGCGAAGCCGACCACACGAACGAGCGCCCACAGAAAACGGCCACTGCCTGCTGCCACGTCACATGAAAACCAGCCACTGCCCATGAAAAACGACCCCCGCCCACAAAAATGACGACGACACGCGAGGACGACGACACATGACAACGACGACAACGACTACACGCTGGGACGATGACACATGACAACGACACGCGACAACAATGACAATGACACGCCGGGACGACAACACATGACGATGACGACAAACGAGCGCCGACGAAAACGCCACCCCCACCACACCCGAAAAACGATATGCCCACAAAAAATGACGAGGGCCCGCCAGCACTGAATGGCGACGAGGGCCCAGCAGCATCACCCTTCCCCTCCACTCTCTCCCCCCATC